AATTGCTAAGAATATGGTTGAATAACAGAATATGAGAAGTATTAGTTAAAAGAAAAGCTAAAAGGATAGTTAGTCAGACAATAAAAGACTTCAAATACAAAAAGATGACAACAAGTCAGATCACTTATATAAACAATATGATAATAATCCCAAAACTAAGCTACATGCTCCAGTTAACCAAAATTTCAGAAAAGAGAATACATAAAATACATTAACCAATAATATGTCTAGCAAAAGAAAAAAGCAATTTATAAAGAATATTAGAAAATTGCATAATAGAACATAAAGATCTCAGTAGGTGTAGAACATTACAACAAGAGTTAGTAATAAAGCAAGTAAGCAGTTTGCTGTCAAAATTAAATAGACAAAATAGCCTAAGTCAGCTAACAAAGCTAAGAATAATACAAGATTGTCAAAAAGCAGGTCTAATAGAAGATATTTGGAAGTTAGAAGAAATATTAGCTAACAAAATATGTTAAAAGAACAACTTAGCATGTCTGACAATAATAAAAGCAAAAGAGCTAAGAATAAGCATAAGAACTGAAAATAATTTATACAGAATATTTGAATACAGTACCAAAATATGAGAACTGTTAGAAACATATTTGTGAAAAAGAAATAGAATAGAAATAAATAAAGAAGGTCTAATCTATCTAAACCAACTGCTCAACACAAAAGATGAGAAGCTAATCACTTGGCAACAATTTAAAAACTTTTGTGAACATTCAAGTAAAGGCAAAAAAGCAAATAATTTAAAGAAATAGAGTTCAAAGTGCTTAAAGGGTCAACAAATAGGAAAATAAAAGAATACTTTAAGACAAACAAACATAATACTCAAGCAATGAAGTCAAAATAAAAGGCTATATTAAAAGATAAAAGAAAAAAATAGTGGATAATATATAGTGCACAAGATAATAGACAGTTAGAAAAGATAATAAAGAAGAAAAAGAAAAAGATCCTACTAGAACATTGGCAAATGCAAGATAAGGAGAGTAAAATAGCAACAAAAATTAGCAAATGTAATAAATGCACAGAAGAGAAAGGACAGAAAGAAGGCAGCTGCCAGCAATAAATAAGAATAAATAACAAGATTAGGGTAATTTCTGACATATCAATAGAAAAAAAAAATAATAAAATCAAGATAGCAATAGACCAGTTGATAGAAAAGATAACAAGCAGAAACTTGAAGAACTGATAATAATAGAAGAGCTAGAAATAGAGATAATCAAGTAACAGAAATTAAATAAGAATATTAATCAAGAAATTCTGAAGATACTAAAAAAAAACTAATTGAGAAACAAAAACAAATATATTATATATACAAATGATGCTACAAATTTAAAGAGCAAAGAAGAAACACAAGACAGAAATATAAGTATAAGATGGATCCAAATAAATGAAACACAAGAGTGATCAAAAGAAGAAACAACATTAGGACTAGAAGGATAGATAACATCAACAATAGCAGAGTTAATAGCAATATGGGCAGCAATTTTAACAATACTAAGAAGAAGACAGTAGAATATATACAAACAGTAATGCTACAATAAGAAATATTAGTAGAAGTTTAAAGCAAATAGATAGAATAAAAATTCTTAAGAAAAAAAATGCAATATGAATAATAAAAATTATAGATTTTATTAACACAAAAAGTATACAGATAGAGTTAGTGAAAGTTAAAAGTTATAGCAAAAACAAGTAAAATAACAAAGTTAATAGCCTTGCAAAAAAGTAAACAATAAGTGAGAAAGTAATACAAATAGAAAAAGTCAGTTGTAAAGAGATAGAGTACTGCCTAGAATGGGAAAACAGATGAACTAATATACTAGCAAGATTGTTATGCAAATTGGTAACAAATACAAGATTAAGAGCAGAATGAAAAGAAACAAATGCAATTAAAAAATTAGAACTCAAACAAAAATTATGATTCATGACTGAATACAATTTTAGAAAAGACTAAAAATGACTAAAGAAATGCATTGCATAACAAGAAGAAGTAGTACAAGAAGATATGCATTTATAAAGTATATGATAGATAAACTTTTGACTTTAGAAGAACTCAATAAAAGAAGACCAGATATATATACAACAACAGAGTGCCAAGTATGTTGAGATAAATTTAAAGAAACACAGTTATATCTAGCATCATACAAAGGACAACAGAGCCTCTGGAGACAAATCCAAAAAGTGACTATCACAACAGCCTAAAAAAAATTGAAAAAAGAAGAAAAAACCTAAATTCCATCATATCTACTATATACAACACTTTTTGAAAAAAGTGAAGCAGAAGAAATAGAGATGAGAGAAGCTTTAATCAAAGGTTTAATTCTAAAAAAGAAGCAAGACAGACTAACACATCTTCTAAATACAAAAGCAAGATAGCAGTTTATAGAAACAGTAGCAAAAACAGTATAGAACATATTCTATGAACAAGTTTGAAAGATACAATGTGAAAAGATCAATAAATAGGAGAAGAAAAAAAGCATAACAACCAAAATGAAGAAAAAGAAAGTAAAGAAAAAAAATCTAAAAAAAAAGAAAAGGCAAATCAGCAAAAGATTAAAGAAGAAAAGAAACAAACAATAAAAAAAAGAATAAAATTAATAAAAAAACTAGAAAAACAATGTTGGGACTTGTTGTGAAAGAGAAAAGACCCTTTTACTACAGACTTTAAGTAGTTAAACAAGTAGCCTACTTCTGTTTGAAGTAGTGTAACAGGTTGCACTTAAGTATTTGTAAGTAGCTGAGTAATGCTAGACTTAGTTGTTAGGTAAATCTATGTAATTATAAAAGTAATTTTAAGAGTTTTAATAAAGTACTAGTATGACTGCTTAAGTTCAAAAAAAAAAAAATTATATAGAAGAGAAAAAACTTTAACTTAATTATAAAAATTAGTATAAGATGCTAGTTAGTTCAAAAACAGCATTTGACAATTTTCAATTACTTGAACTATATATATAGTTATGTTTATATTACTGTATTATTTTTAATTTATATTATTAATAAACTTATTTAGAAAATAAATACTACTAACTATTTTGGTAATTTTACATATTGATTTTTAGAAGAAAATAAACTAAATTACTTACTTTTTATAAAATTTTTTTCAAAAAAAGTAATGTTAATAAATTAACCAATTTTGTAATATTTGTAAGTTTTTGACCTTTATAGGTGTTTTTTATAGATTTTATAATTGTATAGAACTAATATATTTAGCATTCTTATTTACTTGATAAAAAAACTTTGATTTTTAATAATTATTTTTTGATAGTTTTAGATCACTTTTAATTTGTTATTACAAAACTACAACTTTTTTTCAACTTTATTTCAATATTTAATTATGTATATACAGTATATCAAAAAAGTTTTTATAAAGTTTAATATATTAATTACATTGTTTTTTTATAATTTAGTTTTCTAGAAAGTTTAGTTCAGATGTTTTTCAAAAAGTGTTCTCTTAAATATATATTTTATTATTGAACAAATTTAATTATAATTGTAAATATTATATAATATATTAATAATAATTATCTTTCTTTATTAATTTATTAAATTCTTATATATTTAGTTTTAAAGAATGTGGTAACTTAGTAAAATAAATAAGTTTTCAACTTTCCAAGTAATAGGTTGGATGTTCAAATCTCTTTAATAATAAAAATTTGAATAATTATTTATATAATATTTGTATTATGATAACTGTTTCTAATAATTATATTAAGATATCTGTAATAATAATTATATCAATATAATTAACAGATTTTGAAGCATTTGTTTAAATATAATATTATATAGAAAAATACAAACTAGCATTAGGTAATACAAACTCTAGATAAGTTCTTGTATTTATATAAATTCATTAAAATTAAGAAATAAAAAGGTTATTTGAAAAACTCAAATAAAGAAGTAGCATAAATCTTTAATAACTCTATTGCAAAAACTAGTCTTAGAAAATATATACTAATGTTAAAGTAACTAAACAGACAAGAACCTTTGAGTAAAAGGTATTACTAACTAAACTGCCAAAATGAACTAAAGAAAAAAAATATTAGGCTAATTTGATATACTAATAAATTAGTCATAATTTTATCAAACTATTTAAATTAAGAGTTTAGAGAACAGATAAGAGTATATTAAAGTAATTTGAATATGTTGTGAAGTATATACTAGGCTTTAAGTAAACTTTACAAAAAAATAACAGCATAATAGCTAACTCTAACTACAAGTATTAGTTCTGCTATAATGATATTGAAGTAAATATAAAAATAGATACAAAAGGCTCTGAAAGGTTTACTTTAAAGATAAAATAGTTCTAAGATTAAGCTAATAACCTGAGCATAACCTAGTAATATTAACACAGATGCAGGTTTAGAAGGTTTAAAATAGAACATCTAAGCAGAGATATTAGATACAGCAATTAATAATGAACCTTCAAGTAAGCTCTTTAAATAAGTAATATAAAAAAGTTATATATATAGCTAATTATACATTTTTTTTGTAATAGTTCATAGAATCACTTTATCAAAAAAGTTATTAATAAACATCAAAAAACCAAAAAAGTCATCTTAATACTAAAAAAAAATATTTGGTTTCAAATTTGTATTTGATATTAGAAGTTTTTATTTTGCAATATTAGTAAATTTATATTATTTTTTAAATCTAAATTTTTTTTTATAATATTTATAATATTTTTTTTTTAAATCAAATTATTATACAAATACAGCATTTAATAACTATTTATGTTGTAACAAAAAAAGAAGCTTTTATCAAATTTGTATATGCTAGTAACTATTTGTTAAAGTTTCAAAAAATATCTTATAAGGCATTCCATTTTCAAAGCTAGAATTTTACTTGCTAATTACCTGCATAAATTGCTTTATAATGCATCTATAAAAGACAGAATTGCAGTATTAAGGATTTATTAAAAGAATATTTTCTTGATTTAAATTATTTATAGATATTAAAATACATAAGATACGTACTTATAATAAACTTTATAAAAGCTTATATCAAAAGAAAGTGATGATAACAATATTAGTAACCAAAATCTTACTAAAGATAAAAGTTTTAAAAAACAAAGTATTAACATTGGTAAAGGTAATATTAAAGGTCAAATAAAAGAGTATGGATCATAATTATCAGGAGCGTAGCGGAGAATATTATGGGACCAGATTTTGTGTGTAATTTATGTCCGCACCTATTTTTAGATAAATGATTATCAATTATCAACTATATTAACCAATAGATTTACTTTTATTTTTAACTACGCTCCGGATATCTAACAGTATCTGTTTTTCTAGTATATACAATTTCTATAATAAACAAAAAATTTAAGAAAAAAATCCTTTATGAATAACGGATTTAACGCAGTACAAGTTTCTGCCATTTTTTTGTAAAAACCTTAAATTATATATTCCAATTTAAAATTCAAAAAAGCCAAAAATTTCAATTCCACAAGGCTACCTTAATTATTAATCTCAATAAATAAATTCTAGAGATGTGATCCATTCGGCTAATTTAGGCTGAAAGCTGATAACAGATCGCATCTCTAGATATGGCCAAGTACTAGGTGATTTGTAATTAAATATTATTAATGTAATATCGATATAAATAATGTAACAAATGTAATATAATAAGTTTATTTCAAAATTTCAAAATCTATATATTAGATTGATTAATCGATTCTCGATTTCAAAATCGATTATCGAAATCAATTTTGAAATAATCAATTTCTCTAACTTTTATACACGCTAGTGATGCGAACTACAACTGTAGTTTACTTTAAAACTATAGTTTATTTATATTAACACAGTTGACTAATAGTTTATAGTTCACAACACTAATACACGCTATGAATTACAGAGATATCATTGGACACATCATTTATATACACGCTATGAATTACAGAGATATCATTGAACATATCATTTATATACGACACACGCGACTATTACCAATACAAATATGGAAATAAGATCTGAAGCACAAATCACATGATGTTATGATGTTAGCATGTATCCATACAATATAAATATGTGATACGTATAAACATTTACTTACATACTTTCTACAGCACTTTAACATGCTTAATTTCAGAAGAAGAAATGTTAAGTATGGAATATGTGAAAATTGTAAGCGGTGTAATACTTCTTTAGCTTGGTGTCAGAAATGCGATCCTTATAGGATAACTCAAAGTTCAAGTGGGTGTGAAAATATTGATGCATACATTAAAAAGGTCCAACTTAAAGCCTCAAAATATGAGGATGTGATTGAATGGATTCCTTTTGATAGATTGGATAATATTCGAAATATTGATGAAGTTCTGAGCAACAGACGTAATAATAGGAGTAATTTTAATTCAATATCTTTAGCAACCTGGTTGGATGGAAAACGATCAATTTCAGATCAACATACACGATCACGTGTGCCATTATATACAGTTGAGTTAAAGACTTATACTGCTTCACAAAATTCTTCGGACTTTTTAAATGAAGTAAGTTAATCAATTGCTCTGTAAATAATTTTGAACAAATCATCATAAATGATAATAAATTGCATGATTTTTATTTATTTATGTTATAAGCTCAACAAATATTTACGACAAAATGACAACGAAGTATATGGATTAACGCAAAATATATATAATGAATATATGTTAGTAGTTAATTATGCTTGTAAAAGAGATAGTGTGTATGGAACATGTATACATTGTAACCAATATAATACTTCAAAAGCCTGGTGTCAGACATGTGATCCCAATAGAGTAATTCAAGAATGGACAAGTGGAAACCCAGATATTGATAATATTATAAAAGAATTTCAACTCAAATCTACAGAATATGAAAAAGTGATTGAATGGATACATTTTAATAAATTCGATGATATTCAAAGAATTAGTGATAGTGAGTTTTATTCGGCAACCTGGTTAGATGGCAAACGATCAATTTCAGGTAATGTTAGAGGATACATAAAGTCACGTACACCAACACATATAGTTGAATTTAAGCCTTTTCCCAGTTCACAAGATTCTTCAAATTTTTTAAAAGAAGTAAGCTAATTTATGGTCATCTTATATTTTTCCCTAATTAATATTTATTTACATACATTTATTTTTAAGCTTGAAGATAACATGCAATTGAATGATAGCAAGCTTAAATTATATGGATTAACTCAAAACACAAGTAATGAATATATGTTGGTTATTAATTATGAAAGAATAAAAATGTATGGAACATGTGCAAATTGTGCTCGATATAATACCTCAAAAGCCTGGTGTCAGACATGCGATCCGTATAAAACGATTCAGAGGTGGACAAGTGGAGATAGGATTGTTGATAATGCTATTAAAGAATTCCAATTAAAATCAACAGAATATGAGAAAGTGATTGAGTGGATTCCTTTTAACAAATTACTTAAAATACAAGGATTTAGTGATAGTAAATCTTGTCCAGTAATTTGGCTAGACGGCAAACGAATAACTTCAAATCAAGGTGACGAATATATAAAGTCACGTACGTCAGCATGTGTGGTTAAGCTCAAGCTTTTTCCTGGTCCAAGGAATTCACCTACTTTATTGAGTGAAGTAAGCTACCTTGTTATCTATCATAATAACTTTATTTAAATCATGGTTACTTATAATCATATGTATTTAGTTTTATAATCATATGCAACTAGACAGTAGCCAATATGAAGTATACGGACTAACTCAAAACACAAGGACTAATGAGTATATGTTAGTCTACAATGGCGCTTTTGAAAGAAATTCGATGAATGGAGAATGTAAATATTGTAAACAACATAATACATCTAAGGCCTGGTGTCAATCATGTGATCCTTATAAAGCAACTCTATATTGGACTTGTGGTGTTGGAACTGTCGATAATTACATCAAAGAATTTCAACTCACTTCTACAAATTATACGAAAGTAATTGAATGGATTAGTTATGATAGATTAGATGGCGTTAAATGGACTAGTAAATGTGAAGGTTCGGCTATCTGGTTAGACGGTAAACGATCAGTTTCAAGTTTACATGGAAAATATGTAAAGTCACGTACATCATGTACGGTTAAACTTTGGATTTTCTCCCGATCAGAGAATTCTTTGGATTTTTTAAAAGAAGTAAGCCAGCTATTTTTTATTATATGCTTTACTTAAATTAATGCTTATTATAAACTTGCATATATTTATATGTTTATTACAAGTTTAAGACCTATCTGCAATCAAATGGCAGCAGACATGAAATATACGGACTAACTCGAGAACCAGCCAGGAAATATATATTGGTATATAGTAATGAGCATGTTATATGTCCAAATTGTAATAAGTACAGTACATCAAAATTCAAGTGTAAAAATTGCGGCGTTTTCCAACATTAAACTCGATAGTTAGCTTAATTTATTAGCATATTAATTAATTCCATGAAAATATACTATTTATTCTTTCTCTAATTATTATACATTCCTTTAATTTTCTTTAAAATATAAAATATTTTATGTATTTAAACGCATATATTATTTTATTTGGATAACAAAACACGATCTTTACAGTTAGGAGTTTTATTTTGATGTTGTGTTAAAAAAAGATAATACGAATAACCGCGACGAAGATAGCATAATTATCTTCTTATGAAAATTGAATTTTTAATACAGTATCTTATATTATATACACATGCATATTTTTTATAAGTTATAAATAAAATTTTATATATTTTTATCGTATATTATATAGTGCTTGCAATTAGTATAGAGTATAATGATATTTTAATAAAGGTTCTATTAGTTGAATCTAAGTTGAGAAGGATAAAATCTTAAATGCAAAAGGTATTTTTTAGTATATTATTTATAAATTAAATAAATCAAACCCCAAATTGCAACCTCTCTAAATGCACGTTTTTATGTATGGTTCCGTCGTAATGCATTTAGAAAGGCCTGACTGTATGTATTTAGTATACAATCGTTCTTACAGTATATCTTGAAATTAAAAACAATATATTTAATTAAAAACTAAGTGCTAGCTTATAATTAAATCTATTAATAATGTTGAATCTCCCGACTTAGAAATAAATTGTTAAAATTACAAAGAAAAAATGAATGCGAGGTTTGTTAAAACTTAGCTGTTTAGTTCATCACATTATATATCACATTGTAGTTAATTTTTTTAAAGCAGTCAATTTTTAAGTTTAAAATTAGTTATTTTTAAGCTTATATGTAAAACTTTGCATTGAATACTTTTATTTAGAAATAAAAAATATATATATTTTTTAAATTTTGAATTTTTTTAAAATAATTTGGATACTTGAAAATATATTAATATATTTGCAACAAAGTTTGGTACAGTATTTTATATAATAATAAAAATAAGTTTACTACTAAAGGTATGAAATATAAATAGATGTCTAAAATAAAATTGCAGCAATGCTATTTGGTTATTAATTATTGTTTTTATTTCTTTTCTGTATTTAGACACCTATTTATAATAGTATAAAAAATGTAATAAATTATTACAGTTTTAAAAGTAAGTGTAGAAACTTGATCGGTTATTTGTAATAGTAAAACTTCATGCAGTTTTGTAAATTTTTTTTTTTTATTCAATCTAAACCAAATTTATTCTTATAAATATCTTATATTAATTATTCATTAATTTCTATATGTTTTTTAAAAAATTACTTTAGCTTCTAAATAATTGTTTAATGTAGTCAATTTTAAATATTTAATACCCAAATCTGCTTTGAATAAAATAATAATTTCTTTTTTAAATGCATGTAAATTAGTTTTTAGAACCAGTTGATGAATTTTTTATTTTATATAAATATATTAAGTTTTTTAAACCTTTTTAGATAACCTTATAAAGAAAAGAAGTCTAGTTTCAAACTTGAATTCAAAATGCAGTAATGTTTAAATTTTATGATAAATTATAAAAATGCAAGTAATTTTGCAAGTAAAAAAAATTTAAATTCCTTACTAATTTTAAAAAATACTATAAGTAAAAAAAGTATAATTTTTCTTTAAGTACAATAAAAAAATAAAAAACAAGCAACTAATAGTAAAGCAGTTATTTAATATTAATTTAAAGTTTTTTTTATTAATAATTAAAATATAACTTTTATTAAAGCACTGTTGCATATTAATTATTTA